TCATATAATCAATAAAATTAAATGTAATCATCTATTTAGTAATTTTTATATAGTAATAAAATAAATAAATTGTTAAGAACGAAACAATTTAAGAAAACGATGAAATATCGTTCATTTGGTACAATTTTTGATGTAGTGGGTTGAAGATGATTCTCAGTTTGGTGCAAAATGATACAAAAATTTACCCCAAATTCAAAACAAGATCTAGGTCTCAAAGCTCATCAATAAAAATAAAATTCATGTATCTTTCTTTGAGATAACCTAAATAAACTTTTCTTCCTTGAACAGAAAAGGTGCAATCTGGCTTCATTCTCATCTATTTTCTGCAAGATTCCATCAGTTCCTAAAAAACTTGTTAGAAAAAATCCATTTAACTGCAGAAATATGAAGAGAGCTGTGATTGATATAATATACACGTACTGTAAAAGTCTCTGCGTGTGTGTGTGTCGACAAATGGATTTTTTTGACTTTCTTCAGTAACCAAAAATGGAAAAAGTAGATCTAGAGAAAGATACAAACTTGTTATCATGGTCAGAGATTGATCAGTCGATAGAGAGAGAAGTTTAATCAGATCAAAATAAGGAATTTTATCCCATGAGATATGAAAAGAAACAGAATACAAAAACTTGAAAAAAAAAAAAAAAAGGAAATATAGCAAAAAAAAAAAGGGTATATAGGGATAAGTGTAGAGCTCCCTTCAATCCAAAGAAGGATTTAACTTGAGAAATGCAGGCTCCTGACACATGCAACCCACAAACCCATCCAATACGGATTATAGATATGGATAGGGTTGAGGGATCCATGGATTAGCAGCTCGATTTTCCCAGAAAGAACCTCTTTTGGACTTCAAGGAGCTCCACCCACAAACCCTAATCTCACTATATTCAAGTTCACCAACTCTCACAACCCTAAAAACTTGAAAATGAAGGTTTGAACCTCTTTTGGGCTTCAAGGAGCTCTACCCACAAACCCTAATCTCGCTATATTCAAGTGCACCAACTCTCACAACCCTACGCATTTGAAGATGAAGTTTGAACCAAGAAAATCACTGATCTGATGTGATCTTTCACATAGAGATACAAATCTAAGCGAAGAAAAACACTTAATAGTAAATAAATACCACGAATTTGCAGATCCATAAACAAGCATCTGACTAATAGACGCAAGAATCATACACAGGTAAAAAGGAGTGAATGGTCTAAGATATAAAGGGGAGGAGGATAAGACTTGGTTTGTGGGGCGGGGGAGGTGGAGTGGGGGTGACAACGGCTGTTTTCTTGTATCTATTGTCTCGGGAAGCGTCTCTACATAGCTAGGTTAATTGATTGATTAGATTCCTTCAGGCTTTGTAAAAGAAATCACATGCGCTTGTCACCATAGAATGGCCACAAAACAAGCATTGCACACTGCACAATTTGACTGTGAACAGTTTTTGCTTTCTTTTTTCAATTAAGCTAGGCAGACAGGGGCTCTTGATCGAATGCTAACAGGTATTTGAAATTTTGTGATTGGACATTATTTAATCCATTAAAAAAATTATAAAGCCACTAAACGCAAATGGAAGGAAATTAATAAACAACCGGGCCATGGGTACATGAATTCAAAATTGGTGTTTTGACAGAAAATATACAGAAATTCAAAATGACCGAGTTGTCATAAAATGACAATATAAAATGACCAAATAATTGGGCAAAAAACGAAAGGGCAACCCGATTGACTGACTAAACCCAAACGAGTTCCCCCATTTTCCTCAAATTTGCTAGAGTCGCGACTTCTCCCGCAGCCAAGTTGACAGCCGCAGTCACCGTCTCCGACGTCGACGACGAGCCCCCATAGTGTCCATCACTTTCACACTGTCCATAGCAATGATTCGTAGCCAGTGTGCCCTACGCTCGAGTGTGCGCTAGAATCAACCACCGCCCTCACCTCCGTCCCCGGCGCCGGAGTCACCGCAGCCACACATTCATCCCCTAGCATCAACGTAAGTGTTTGTGGAGTTGTTGTTTGACATGGGTTCTCAGCTTTTTCCATGGTTATTTATAAATATCATGTTTGAATGTCCAAAGTTTTCCCATTGTACAAGTTTGGATTTTGGATATTGATTAATCTTTGTTTGAGTTACATTTATTACGAGACTTCTTGGTTTATGAAGATGGGTGCCACTATTTTAGCTTTGTTCGTAACTCGGTTTGCATAAATGTCTTCACTGATTGTTGAATTTCGACACCCGTTGGTTTAACAGGGAAATCAAGAATGAATTTCCTGCACCGATTGTTCTGAATACATGTATTATGAGAATTGTTGTTATTGTTTGATGAAGATGAATGTCCTGCACCGATTTGTATAATGGGAAAATGAAAATTAGTATGCCAGTGACACTTGAAAACACAGCCTGATTGTTTCATGTATGTATGATTGGAAACCCTGAACTTTTATTTAATTATGTCTGTAGGCATAAATCTGAATTTCACGTATGTACGATGGATGGAAGATGAACTTTTATTATGAGATATTTTCAATCATTTAACTACATCTTTGATTTTTGACAAGTCTGTTTCATTTTCAGACCTTGACTAGAATGAGAGGAAGAAATTTCGGAGTTTATCACGGTTGCAGAAACAATAGGCACTACTTCGAACAATGCCAGTTAAAACTTCGATGCCCTAGTTGTGACCACGGATATCGAAAATATTTTGAGGTCGAACGAGAAACCAGTAACAAAGGGCGATTGTTCTTTACCTATAGTAATGACTGCGGGTACTTTGATTGGGTAAAAGATGAAGATGTAGGCGGGGAATCGAGTTCCATTCAGCATGCGGTTAATCAATCGCCCGACAAGGAAGACGAAGAGTTGCCAAGACTCTTTGATGGGCTAGCTAGAATTAGTGAGAAACGAGGCGTTGACATATCACCGCACTTGACTTTTAGCAAGGGAAAGGGAATTGCCAATTGTGATGGGAAAGGAAAGAGGTCGGATTGAGGGGTTGATTTGAGTCATGTCTTCGGTCAAGGCACCAGTATGATGTGAATTTCAGTTTGCATAATAATGTATCGGTCGTATGTATGTCTAATCTGTATTTCATGGTGATTTGTAAGACATTGAATGTATTGATAAACATATGCTATTTCCTTCCAAGTTTTGTGCCAGAAATTTGTACCCAACTTAACCCAATTCAAGCTTGCATCCTTCACAAAATCAAACACAGCTGCATACTTTGCAATTGCTCTTTCATCCACTTTGTATTCAAGTAGTTCTGGCAAGACTAGCCTCATGAATGTGTTCTCGGCTATGATTCATAGCCCTTGAACGAGGAAGAACGATGTTGTACCTCATCTAGGCATAACGCGGCATAAATAGTAAACAATGATCTCGTGCATGAATGCAGACACGAGGAATGTACCTAGTAAGGCCGATGTTACAAATAAAAGTAAACAAATTCTTCGAGAAAGCGAAACACTTATATTCTTTCCCATTCTTTGGCATATAATATAATAGGATCCCCAATCTAAGGAGAGTTTTTGTACACAAAATGAAATGGCAGACACAAAAAATTCATGAAATGTCAAACACAAAATCCCAAAATCATAGAAAAACTTCTGGCTGTTTGTTTATTCATTACAACAGAAGTTGAACTACAATGGAAGTTTCTTCATTACAACAGAAATTATATTCTTCAATGTCCTCGACGAGTTTCATGAAGCTGCTGGCTGCTTACCCCATTTCTTGACGGAACAGGTTCGACCCTAGTTCAGGCAACACAGTTGGCGAATGTTGCTGAGGTTTGTCACGTCTATTATGCATGGACTACTCAGATTTCTTCTTCTTACTCTTCAACACCTTAAAACATCCCATATTGCTTGCAAAAATCTTTAGATACTCACTAGGCAGAATGATGTCCTGTCATTATACAAAACAAAAGAGGAAAACCAAGCTAAGCTTATAACGTTATAGATATCATTAACTTAAAACATATGATTTCCAATCTTGCTCAGGAAAGTAAAAGAATTATGATTGAAGGTTAGGTGCATTTCACCATAATGCATAGTTTCCAATTTAAACTTAATCAATACACCACAAATAAAATGTGTAATTTCAGGTCAATTGAAGAACTTGCCAACAAAAAAAAAAAAAAATGAAAAAATGAAGCCATTCAAATGAATTACTAAATGGTAGCATTCACCCAAATTCTCAACTTATGTATAAAATATCTCCAACAATCAACAACAACTTAAAAAACACAGAATGAGTTCAAATTAACTAAAATTAATACAAAAATAGTCAATATCAAAAAACTAATTGCAACGTATGTAGATCCAAAAAACATACATAAATACCTAATTTACATGGTAAACATTAAAAGACAATGTGACGTACCTTCCCCCCGAAAATCAGAAGCGCATTGCACCTTGCTAGGGAAAATCTGGATAGAAGTATGGCATAACACGACCTGATTTACATGGTAAACATTAAAACACAATGTGACGTCAAAAAGCATACATAAATACCTAACACAAACCTTCTGCGTTGACTACGACATTTGTGGTTGCCAGATGGTCGGAGTATTGTAATGGTGTCGGCATAAGAAATTGTGGTGGTAGAGACGCCTGGGCATCGATTGATCCCTCTTCCACATTACTTTGAGTAGCTCTAGGCCTCTTCCCTTTGTTCGACGGTGCGGTGGCCTGCATGTGCAACAATTGAAATGATTAGTTGTTACGAATTCATTATAAACAAAGATAGTAATAGTAAAACATACATTCGTCCTCTTTGAACTACACTCTAATGGTCCTTTCCTCCGAAGTTTCTTTGGTGCGCCCTTTCTATTAGAAGTTACTGGATCTAATATGTGTCCTCCGCTACTGTTAGGCTGGGAGTAGACAACGCTTCCAACACTTGACTTAGACTTCCGTAACTCTTTTATTTGCGATGTCATCCACTCCGTTATAGTGCGTGTCCATACTTCGTCATCTGCTGCTAGGTCCGCCACCTCTGAAAAAATTCAGCACATCTCGTCGTACCTCAACTGTCCAGGACTATTGACCAATCCATCGTAATGTACTGCGATCCTTGAGTGTGCTCTAGTAACATCTCGTCTCCACCTTCTTAATATGTACCTCTCAGGCATCGATGTTATGTCGTTACGAATCAAGATTGTAATAGCATGCCTACAAATAATTCCCCGAAATTCAAATAGGTGGCAGCTAAAAATTAATTCACATGTATCCCTCCGAAATGATACGCAAAAAGATTTTTTCTTGTGGTGCTCGTGAAGAACGACATCCTCACGAACCTCGTAAGTCGACCAATAATAGTCATTGGCATTTTCAGATACAACGTCGTAGTACACTTTCTCGATGAATTCTTGCTGAATTTCTTTGAACTTTTCGATGGTATAAACAGCTTGAAATTGCTTTTCCATTTCGTATGTTGTCGTACACGGAACCATCTGGGAATAGGACCTAAAATCTGCCTGGAACTCCTTCTCCACCTTATTTCTTAATACTCTTTCGTACTGCTCCACAAACTGCTTCAATGAGGTTTTCGAATGCACATATCCATCGAAAAATGCATTCATGCTTTCACTTCGTTGTGTCGTGGACATGCCTGCCCAAAATGTGGTTTTCAAAAAATAAGGCACCCACCGACCTCTGTTCTCATATAATCCTGATAGCCAAGCATTGTCATGCAAGTCATACATATCGAGCATCGACCTCCAACCTCTTTCGAATTCTTGTACATTTTCCACATCATATACAGGTCCATGTATAGCAAAAAATATTGAGCTCTTTTCAATGTGGTATCCAAACTTTTCAGGCAACTTTTTCATAATGTGCCACAAACACCATCTATGCTTCGTGTTTGGAAGAGTAATCTGAATGACATTTTGCATTGCCCGGTCCTGATCAGTAATGATGGCATTAAGAGCTTAAGCATGCATACACTTAAGTCAAGTTCTAAACAACTACACAAACGTCCCCGTGTCCTCGTTCGACAACAATTCACAGCCAAGCAGTGTGGATTGGCCATGGTGATTTATGCCAACGAAAGGGTAAACGGCATGTCGTACTTATTAGTGAGGTAGGTAGTATCAAAAGTGACAACATCACCGAACTCCCTGTAAGATTGCCTACATCTATTGTCCGCCCAAAAAACATTCTTTAGTCTACAGTCATCATCTAAGTCCATACTAAAGTAAAACCCCGAGCACCGTGTCTGCATCTTTGAAAAGTACGCCTGTATTGCAAGGGCATCTCCTTCCCCAAGACGTAGTCGTCTCACCTGTTCAATGTAGTTTCGACAATCCTTCTCCACAAAAGTCGTGTTCTTATATCCACCAGCCTCAATAACTGCAGAATTATAACTCTTATGCAAGGGAATCCCTACCATATCATTCACCTCAAGCTTTCGTTTCACATTTGCACTCAATTTTTTGTTGCATCGGTACAGCCTGATGGGCTTGTTTTGTGATTGTGGTCAAGGTACACTTTGTTAATCCTCCATATTCCCAGACTATCTAAAGATGCAGATATTCTTGCTTTACAATCAGTTTGACATGTTGGTTGCGGTTTCAAGGAACCGTCTGTAGCATAAGTTCTCCGACCTTCATGACTACATGTGAACATCACATATCTCATAACTCCATTTCCCCCCTTTTTTGAATTCCTTTTTCGCACCGGAAAGCCAACGGTGTAAGCATATTTTTTGTAGAAATCAAACATTTCCTTCTCATCACTAAACGTCATACCCTTAGGCACTAACGCCACATCTTCTCCTACATTTTCATTGTCCACCATATTCAAATTTTCCATAGCGTTCTCGTTATCAAATTGTAGCAAGAAATCAAGATTCCCATCTTCCATAATTTTGTTTCCTGCCACACAAATTATAAGAAGCAATCAATGCATCTACATATTTTCAGCTATTCCTTGAGCAACTTCAAAATGTTTTTCAGGGGAGCGATTCTATAAGGTTTGGAAAATTTCAGAGGTATACCATAACTAGCACTATTACCATTGCTTGCAGCCACGATGAACTCGTATAGAGAAGTAGGGATCAATCGCTGTTTCACTATGGTGATTGGTATAGTGAAACATTTTTATTCATTTTCAAGCAATTTTACATCGAAATTTATTATTTTTTTAAATCCAAAAACTATAACATAAGAAAAAAGATTACAGAAAAAAGCGCTTATTGAAATTTTAAAAAAAAATAAAAAAATACGTGATTTTGTTTTCAAAAAGTTGATGCAGTGAAATGCTCAAATGGTTCAACGGCCTTTAATCAGTCGCCCGGTTCATTGTTTTGTTTCGAGAAATCACTTCGTTAATTCTTCATTATTTTCCCATGAAAGCCATACTGGAAAAACTAAGAAAATGCACAAAATACGCAATAGGTCAGAAGATCCTAGAAATAATTACCACGGTAGGAAGCTGGAAATGAAGATGGGTTACGGTACAATCTTCATCTCCATAGCCAAGTTGACTCCACCCGATTGACTGCCGAGGAAAACGAAATGGGTACCAATTGCTCGAAATGCAAGTTTGTACGGTGCCCTTTTAGCTGGGATATGGTCGTCGGCGCCGGTGAATTTTAGATGGACTTTTGCTGTCTTCTATTTTGGGAGGGAAGGGCTGCTGTCTTCTATTTTGGGAGGGAAACAAATGAGACTTCCTGGTAAAACAAGGGAGACTTTTATGTTTTTTCTTTCTTTTTCTTTTGTTTTCTTTATTTCTCTCTCTCTCTCTGCCACGTAAACCGAATTCAAAAAATTGTGAGTTTCCTGTAAAAATACCTTGTACCTAGAGCTTTTTTCATTAATAAAACAAAGGTTGGAGGGAAATCAATAAAATTAAGGCTCTATACTCTCTCCACGCACTTTCTCCATTGCTATGCTAGTGTTTAGATCCTTATTACAATTTACAAATTAATCCATTTTTGGGAGGAAAAATAATGAACGGCTTAGGTCTTGTTTGAGCCCCATTATTTTCTTATAAAATGAAAAATATGATCGTTATCCATCACATCAAGCCATCATATTTGACTTTTTATCTCTTGTGTGGAGCCCATAACAACCATATTTTTCATTCTCATTTTTACAATAATGTGACTCAAACGGGAGCTTAATTTTTATGAAGGGATAGAAATAAGTAATAAATAATACTTTTTAATTTATTGGAATATGTAATTGAAAAATAAACTTTTACTATTTATCCTCTATTTATAAGAATAACGATTAAATTATAGTAAATTTTGATAAAAATCAATAAATATGTGATTCAAAAGTTGTGAATCCTATAAAATATGTAATTAAGATTAATTGTTGGCTCTGAATTAAATTAACACCAAGTGCGCTTGAGCTCTCTTGCGGCCAGAGAACTTCAAGCACGTGCGATCGGAGCTTGCTTTCTCTCTCTACCCACCTTCCCCAAAATACACCCACGTAAGGGAGAAAATTTCCTCCAGCTCACTTGAAATCTCCATCTCCACCCATTTCTCCCAAATTTTGTAACTTCTATCTCTACCTATTTCGAGTCTTAGAAGAGAGAAAGCAAGCTCCCAAAAAGTTGACGACATCAATATTGTATTAATTAGTCAACAGGCAACGTTCAAAGTCATATATCATGTATCATCCTTGTTAGTATTAAAAATTCATAACAAGAAAATTTTAATAACAGAAAAGATCTCACAAGGTTATCGACAAACTACTTCTAGAGTATAAAAGTATTACAAATGTCCAAGAGAAAATAATAATGACCCCAAGGATCAATTTGTAGTTTCCAAATACCTCATTTGCGTCTTACTTTGATAATTATACTCATTTATGTATTTCCTGTTAATTTATCTACCATGTTGCTAATGATTATTTTAAAGAAAATAAAGTAAGTTGGTCTCATATTGGGATTTGGTACTTATTAATTTTTATGGTGCTTCCATGTATACGAATTTGCGTCAAAATATGTTTAATTTCACTGTTCTCGATTTTATGTGTGGAGATGATCTCCTTTCATCAGTGAAAATGCAAACAATGTTTTCTCTATTTGAATTATCCACAAACATTAATTCAAGAATAACAACCACCATGTTTAAAATACATTAAAAGAATTTATATATTCACCTTTTTGTTCAAAAATATAATGGAGTAAATTAAAAGTTCTTATGATAGTGTTCTCTTCAATTTTTTCACATACCCTTTTTGACTTGCAACAGTGTTGGTTAGAAATGTTGGAGAAAATTCATCGGATTGGAGTAGAGATCACAAAATATGAACCGAAAACGTCAATAACAAGATAATCACGAACTTGTATCAATGAATGACTTGAACACGACATCGTTGTTCTCAAACAATATTTGCCCCTTCTCCTATGAATTTGAGATACTTCGAATATTGCTGGCAAATGGTTTACAGAATTATAATAAGTCTTGCAAGGATTTAAACATCAAATCACAAGTGCAAATCTTAGAAAAGTTGAAGAACACAAAGAATGAATAGGAATATGGCTTTTAAGATTTTGATATTTGATTTTGGAAGTAATATGAAACCTTGATTTTTTTGTAATATTTTTTTTATTGTTGTTGTTTATTGTGAACAACATTATCACAACAATCCCCCACTTGTTCAAAATTAACAAGTCTCATATTCATAATATACGATAGTCATGCATAAGGATTATATATATTTCGATTTGAATCTAACATAGTGTAATTTAAATAAAGTATAGTCGGAATCAAAGGTAGCGTATAGTTTTGAACCAGTTATTCCATATGACAGTATCGGTAAGAACACACACACGAGTACCACGTGTTCTCAAATTCCTCATAACTCGCTTAGTGCTTTTATGACCTCGCGCTTATCCTTTTTAACAATCTTTCAAGAGAGAAACTCCAACTCTTTATTAAGGCTGTACCACCTTGAAAATTGTTTAGGTGAAGTTCTTCCAATATCTTTGTTACCTTTAGAAGTACTTGTATTTTAGTACTGAATTTCATCAAGAGCTTAAAGCTCATCCCTCATTTCAGTAACAACCAGCATTAATTTAATTAGGATAGGATTATTACGGATTTAATAATGCTGCAATTATTCAAATATCGAATAACTTGTTGTTATCCTTTGAACCCGTAAATTGCCTTTTGAGTAATGACAGGTAGGGTTGCTGTCATTGGTGAACCTTTTTAGTTAAGGAGTTTCAATCTCATCCCACTCGAAATAGATGCTACTAAATTTCTGTTTAGAGATTTAGTCAAAGGATCCGCCAAATTCTCAATTAACCTTACATAATTTAGGGAAATTATTCCATCATTGATTAGCTTTCTTATATAATCATGTCTAAGACTCACGTGTTTAGACTTTCCGTTGTATACCTCGTTGTATGCTTTTGCTAATGTGGCTTGACTATCACACATGATAGGTATTGAATAAATATTCTTCAATCCCAAAGGTATCTCATAAAAGAGATCTTTAAGCCACTCAGCCTCTTTCTTGATATCCGATAGGGCTACAAATTCAGATTCTAATGGTCGAGTGTGTTATCCATGTTTGTTTCTTTGATTTCCAAGAATTAACACTTCCTCCTAGAGTGAACACTCAACCTGAGATAGATTTACTTTCACCCGTGCTAGATATCCAATTAACATCGGCAAATCCTTCCAATATTGTCGAAAATTTAGTATATTGCAGGCCTAAGTTCTTGGTTTTCTATAAGTATCCAAGAACTCAGCCCTCCAATGATTTTTGCTTGGATTGCTAGTAAATCTACTAAATTTACTAATAGCATATGCTATATCTGATCTTGTGCACTGAACTGTATACATAAAACTTCCAATAGCACTAACATATTCCAATTGAGCAATCGCACTTCCATCATTCTTTACAAGTTTTGAACTTGGATCAACCGGGATACTATATTCTTTTATGTTCAAGTGTTCGAACTTGTTTATCACATTCTCAATATAATGTGATTGACTTAGGTGATAACCCACACTAGTCTTTGTGACTTTGATACCTAAACTGATATCCACTTGACCAAGATCCTTCATTTTGAATGTGGAAGATAGAAACATTTTGTTTCTTTTATACCGTCCATATGATTACTCGTAATCAACATGTCGTCAACAAATAAACATATAAATGTCACATAATCATGATATACTTTAGAATATAAACATCTATGTACGCTATTATGTTTAAATCCGAATGATGTTATAGCTAAGTCAAACTTCTCATGCCATTTTTTAGGTGTCTGCTTCAAACCATATAAAGATTTTACTAACTTGCATACATTATGTTCATTTTCAGGTAGAACGAACCCTTCGGGTTGCTCCATATAGACCTCCTCATCGAGATCCTCATTTAAGAATACTATCTTGACATCCATTTGATGAACATACAA